TATGTCCGTAATAGTAACATATTTGGTAGACAACCGCCGAAGTTTCACGAGGGTTAGTCCATCTTTAGGTTGATTCACGCGACGACAAGTTATCGCCTGCTTTCAGGGCTTATACCTAATCCGGTGAGTTTAAACAGTTGAGAGGCCTCCTTGGGCTCTTTTTATCTGGAGAATGACCCTCCAGAATTAGAATTGCTGTTTTTTGGCTGGCATCTGTTCACTCAGTGCTTGCTTTCTTTGGTAAAATAGTTTGAGTATCTATTAGCTTCTAAGAGGTCATAAAGGGATTGCCTTTCATCTCTTCTGTCCAGACACAGCTACATTGATGAAATAGAGAGTACTTGCTGTTGAAGTTGTTGTGTTGCTGGCCTTTCTAAATATTTTAATTTTAAGGCCTACTTACATACTAGCGTACAATGACACAAGTGTCATAGACGTAACCATCCCAGAAATCCGGTTGATACTTGAAAAATACCAAGTTTATTATCTTTTAAAAGACAACGTCAGCATTTAGGCCTAATAAGAGGCAGCTTATAAGAGTACCTTTAATTTGTTTATACATATGTCCACCAAATGTTAAATAAGTTCCCAGCCCTTGTAGTGCAAGCTGGAGCGGATGTTTGGACCTCGGGGACACGTCCCTCCCGTCGTAGCGTTCAACGAAAAGTTGCCTCACTAAGTCTGTTGTTTGTTGCTTTTAAATGGAGGTGAAGAGTGAAAAGACATTGAAGGATACCATGGCTCTGACGTTGGGCGTTTTATCAATTCAAGGAACTGATTGACAGAAGACATTGCTATTGGCGAGCCTTGTGTTAGTAACTTAGATGAACAAGCATTCATTTCGTTACACTGTATGTAGAACTGGTAGGAAGGGAGACGATGGGTCTGAGCGGTATGTTTGCCTTGTGTACTTTAAGCGGACCGTAAAATTGCGCCATGGCTGTTAGTAGGTTTCAGAGTAAACAATCCATTAGTTGTGATTGTACCATTGGCTCTGAGTTTTCCCAGCCTTCTATTTATCTGAGTAAGCAGGTTCTGTATCTCGCTAATTTAACGTAGTTTGTAAGATTTCAGGCCATCGAGTATGCTGGGAGTTGTCTTTTGCTAATCAGTTTTTCAGCACTATTATGGAAGAGCTCTGTCAGCCGGTAGAATGATAACCTCTTTATCCCCTTTTGTACCGTTCAATGTTGTCTGTTGTTTGCTAAGAGTTACACATTTTGTGTCGCGTGGACAGTACTTATGTTTTTTTGGCGGCTTGAATCATTCGTTCCCTCTGACATCTTTGCTTAAAAGCCGCAATGAACTGCGGGTGTGGCGTCTGCCATTTAGGTGGCTCCGCGTTTTAGGCCTCTAAGTCGTGTAACAGTGAGGGTTTAGAGGCAAGGTGGTAGTCAAGGTCGCCCAGCAAGTTGGTTGAATGGAGTGGTCCCAGTTTACTTACTCATTATGAACAATGCGAACCCGATCAATGGCAATTATCACACCAACGCCACCACCCTCGGACGAGACGAGCCCGCAACCGCATGACAACAGTCATTCCCATGCCTAGCTTAACTGTACCTATAAATACTGTGAACGTTCGTGCATTTACCACCTTTGACAATGGAAGCTTGTCTGATTCCGAAACGTCAGGACATATATTTAATGAGGTGACTTGGGAATTTTGAGGACGGGCGGGTCCCCAACAGCCGCACGGATTTTTTGTCCGAGGTTGTCTCCTCTAGCGCTTTGGCTCAATAGCCTAACCACAAGACAGCGGTGGCAAACAAATTTATTTGATGGCGGTTCACGCTTGCCATGTCACAGTGCCTAGCGTCAGGTTTTGCGACACTTTATAGGCTTTTGGCTTGCCAGGCCTCAGCCCGCTGCGCCCTGGTAGCACTGCTGATGTTGGTCCGCCACTGCTTATTCGTCAGACCCGAGAGTCCGCTTATTTCACAGCTAACCTTTACTGTGGACGCGCCGGGTAGCCAGCACGTAGGCTAACGGATAACCCGCCTTCCCGGTCCCAGTTTAGCCATTTCTGCATAATTCCTTATCTCTTTTGGAGCTCAGGAGAGGAATGGAAACTTTTGTAGTCAGATTTTTTAGGCATGCTTCGGTTTTCGAAAAAAAATATGTTCATCTCGGCAGCAATATGGTCAGGGATCGAGTGCGCTTTTCATGTTTTACCCGGGCGTAATTGTAATAGTTAACACCAGCCTTTCTCTCTTCCCGCCACCATTGTGCAAAAATGGAAGCATAAATTTCTACAATATAATAATAATGGTAAGACTTTCTTGTGAGGCCGCCCAAGTTTCTTATGGAAATCATAGCTAAAGATTTAATGCTTAATTAAGGCGTAGTTAATGCCTGACGAGTGTACAGTGTACGAGTGTAATTCTTTTGCGGAACTAGAATGCAAATGAAAGGCATGCGGAAGGAACAAAATCGACCATCATAAACTCCCTTTGGTCAGCAAAAGATGCCTTAGGGCCAGTAACAGTATTTACACTTTGACTGCGACTGCCAAAATAGCCTGTATGCCCGTGCGTGTCTGCGCGTACCACATATGGCGCACGTCGCAGTCAAAGTGTTAAAACAACTCATATTACTTAACATAATCAAGGAAATGTTTAGGTAGCCGGAAATTCGACCTACTGAAATTGTAGTACTTTTTTACTACCAATCACAGACAGGAGCGGCCTCAACAGAAAGCCCTACCGTAATAATATAATATAAATTACTGTAATGTCAGTTATCAAACTTATTTCTATCCAAGTTTTATCCGTAAATACAAATGCATACTCTCCAGATAAATCTACATATTTCATTTCAGTTTTGTCCAGGAGCGTCCAGATCGACCCTTAGCTTGGAAACCATTTTGTTAAAATGTGTAAGCAAGTCCGAAAAACATACTTATCATAGTCCATCAAAATCTAAGAGTCAGTATAGCTAAGCTGTAAGCGCCATTTACCAGGACTCGGCCGAATTCACCGCACACACCCCAGATAGACTTTAAAAGCGTGGCATCTCCCTAGATGTAAAGTTCTAATTTTCAACCTGTGTCAAAATCTAGCTTTAATTCACACCTCAGGTATGTACCCGGGTATGCCGGGAATGCAACCCCCACCTCCTGGATATCCATCTGGCCCTAGAAAGCCTTTTGATGCGGTCCCGAATCGTCCGCCATTCCAGCAACAACCTGGCGTTCCGGCTACACTTTCACATATGCCCATGAACGCGCCACAGTTCATGTCTGGTGTCCCCGCACCCGGTGCTCCCCGTCCTCCACAGCCCTCGGATCAGGTAAGCCGTCCTCCTGTCTGATTTCATCAAAGCGCAAACTGGTATTCCAGCTTGTTTTAATGACTGCTTGCTAAATTGGAGTTAAGGCCCACAACAGCCACTGGCATTCAGCCCTTGGTTTGCCTATCAACGCCCAACCTATTGCACCCTGCTACATCGGAACGGTAGGGCTGGACAGAC